AAAAACAGTGAAAACAAAGGCTATTAAACAATAATGTTTACCACATTCTTTGCTGGCATAGCTCAATAAAGTCATGAGAACAGAGAATATGGACCTAGTTACTGAACAGTACTGTATCTATTTTAGTACATGTAGCTTTTTCAATTCACACAAATTATATCCCTCATATAAGATTTCTGATCTTACCTTCAGGGTTCTGACTGTGCGTAATCTCAGCATGATTCATTAATATCAGTAAGAACCATATCTTCAAAAGACTGGACATTTCTTCCAGAGTTTATTAAAATCAGAAGATACTTGGATCAAAAAGGAAAAGAAAAAGAACAAAGTCAAAAAGGCAATATCCACCCAAAACTTGCACAGTTATAAATCAGAAACAGGCTAAGATGCTGAGCAGACACTAAGATCAGAGTGATCTAAGGATGCTTGCTACCAACTTTTAAATTTAGATCTTTTTTTTCCAGGACAGAGATATCCTTTAAGCAAACACAGGCCCACTAAGTATGCATGTGCAGTCTGCTTCTTTCCCTTTCATGAAGTAGCTCTTTTAATTTTCCTTTTAGTAGCACCTTTTCTTTGCTAAGGCATTGTCCAACTAGATGTGGTTTTCAAACGGTTTAGTTAAAAAGGAAAAAAAAGGATTTTTTAAACAGAGATAAAAATAAAGAAGCAGGCAGAAGGGGTGAAAAAGGAAATAGCAAAGAAAGGCCAAACAAACCTTAAGCTTTTTGTAGAATGTTATGTTGCCTGCATGTGCAGAAGGGGTTTGCAGGGAGCCACCCTAAAATGCAGCCAGCAGGAGGATGCTGCAGCACAGCAGGGAAGAGGAAGCAAGGGAAGGGAAGGAAAGGGAAGAAACACCCTTGTCCAGAGAGAAAGGAGCATGCGGGATGTCGTATTCAAAAGCACACTGCTCCAATTGCACTACTCTCAGTGCTGCTCCTTGCACTTTGAGAACAGCATCAGTTTTTCACCACCACTTGGGACCTAGCTCTTATGCATTTTAGTAGCTTTTGCTATCCCCTGTCCTGTGCACTGTGGCATAAAGATCACYGAGGGACACATAGCTGGAAGGGCAGCAAATGAGACATCCAGAGCTACTTTAACGCACATTGCTTCCACTTACTGGAGTGCCTTGCTGTCTCAGGACCCTCAGCTTGGCACCTGGCCCAGCAGCGCGGGTCACTGCGGCCACAGGTAAAACCTGAATTGATCGGAGATGCTTGAGGATGCTCTGTGCTACAAACTGCAGCTTTGTGCATCAAGAGTAGTCCTTAATTTTAACAAACAACACCATAGGCCTTGTCAGTAAACCTTGCTGTGAGCCTGAAGTCACTGTGTTAGGATTTGTACCCTTTTCCTTCATTTCAAGGACTCATCTGCAGCCACATTTAATTTTTCTGTTCTCTCTGCCATAGATAGAATTACAGATTTCCAGAAATCTAGATTTCCAGATCACACCTATGGCCAAGCTATACTTTTTTTTCTTTTTTCTAAAAAGAATCTTTTCAACAGCCTCTAGCGATGCTTTGGTCTAATTCAAATCTATGGTCCTACTCTTACACCGGGAACAACTCAAATGGGTGGATGATCAAAAATTCAAGCATGTCAAGTAAACACTTTAAGAAGTTACTGCCTCTGTCTTGTTCTTGCCCGCACTGAAACCCTTTTCAGCTGTTCTTTCGGGAGCGCCTCAGTACATGTCCCCCATTCAGACATATCTGGTTTCTCAGACAATGAACTTTTTTGTGTTTTCTGTCTTTGTCCTGTTAATTTTGCAAAAAGGTTTCATTATTCCAAACAGCTTAAATCATACCAACAGAGCCCGCATCACCAAACTTTAACTAACACATGCTAAATTAATATATCAGGAGATTAAATGCTACGGAAACTGGAGCTTTATCCTGACCAAGTGCAATAGGCAAGCAGCAGGTGCAGAGGAAATCTGTGAAGGAACCCTGCTTGATAAGACAAGCTGCAAGATGAAGTATTTCCTTTTGCCAGCAAAACAAGCCCATTTGCAAAAATTCACAGGAGCTTTTAGGCAACCCCTAGGCCCGCCGTGGCTCTGCAGATTCCTTGGAGCAGTCCCCACAAGCCTGCCCAGCGCCAGCGCTGCCATCCCTTCTCCCCAACCTCTCTTGCAGACAGGTTTGGTTAAGGGGGGCTCCGGGGCTGCCCTCTCCGCCTGCTCCCCAAACACATTTTTCCATGTMAAGAAACCCTAGACTCCATATCTCTGGCTCCTTTGAGCCAGCCAGCGCCTTATCAGAAGCCCGATAAGCACAAAGCCACCCTCATAAGCAGCAGCTGCCCGATAACCCCACGCGTTGCGGCTGCCCGTCCTCCCCCTCGCAGAGGGGCTCTCCGGGCAGCACRGGAGCCTATGGGGCTTGGGTCGGAGAAGGAAGGGGAAGAGGTGCCGGCCCTCGCGGCAGCCGTGGGGCCAGCGCGGGCCGGGGGCACCTTACCTGCCTCTGGTGTTCCGCGAGCCGCACGGCTCTGCYAGGCAGTGGAGCAGGGGCAGGCACTGGCACCGCCTTGCAGGCTGCCCTGGGCATCCAGAGGCGGGAGCAGCAGCCAGAGCTCCCATTGGGATGAGAGGAGCTGCCCGGGGGCTCCAGCAAGGCCAGGCCAGCCCCCCACGCCAAACCCTGCACCCCTTAGCTTCCTAAAGCAGAAGAGGAACTGACTGTACCTGGGGTCACCCTGCAAAAGGGGGCTGCRGTTTCTGGGAGACGAAGCTCTTCCAACTTTGTGTTGAAAGTTTCCGACTAAATCAGGCCCCTGCACAGCATCTTTCTCCTGCGCTGCAACATATCCAGTGCCACCTCGACAGAACAGAGGGGTTAGTTACTCTCCAGGGCAAAACACAGCACGTTCATGAGATCACCGAGACGTGACTTAGCACTTTCACCCCTGAGCAGGATGGGCAGCAGATCCAAAGCAAGCACTTGCCTCCTTGGATGGTATCTTTAAATTATTCCATGCTATTTAAGCAACTGTTTGAACTCGAATGTGTTTCCTGGGGCTGTCAATGCAGACACTAACTGCACTCAAATACATGTGTTTGAAAGGGGAAGAAGCCCCTTTTCAATCACCCTCAGCCAGGCTGCTCCTCCTCCTTTGCAAGAACTGTGATACTRAAAGTGCCTGTGTACGTACAGTCCCACAGGGTCACTTTATACATTCAACAGGCCCAAGCAGATGTTTTGAGAACAGGCGCCAGGCACATAAAATGCTTCTAGTTTTACTTAAAATACAGCAAGGAAATCAGCAGCTGGGCAGATTTTCCATCACATTATGGGACAGAACTACTACATTATAAACATTGTACTTTGTGCTCTATATTGTACTCAGCTGTAAGACTTTGCACATAATGACCATATATTTAGGAAAATACAACAAAATTAGCATAGAATATTAAAGCCAGAACGCTAAGGCTTCGATTCCTATCTATTCCTGTAATATTTGCAGTCCCTAAACTGTGCCTCATTTTAATAACGAAAAGATAACAGACTAGATAAGGATGTGTTTGATAAGGGCCTGGAGAATGTCCCCTGACAGCTACCATGGTTCTGTCACCTACATGAAGCTAAATTCATTAGACATTAAGGTAGCAAAGAAAAGATTAAGAGGATGCACTTGAAAATATATACAGCTCTTTTTTTTTTTTTCCCCAATGCTAAATCTGATTGTGTCAAAATTACACAGCAGTTGCCGAAATGGGAATAACACCAAGCCTGAAATTACTGTTTGGAAAAAAAAATAAAGAGTCAAATCACTCACCTCACACTACAAAACATTTACCATTTAAGGCAACTAAGAATAAAAGATTATTGAATTTGCAAGACAAATCACTAAGGACAAGCAAAGGAAGTTTAAAATAAACACAAAAAGACCAACTTAAATATCCTACTTGGCATAAGATCATCAATCATTAAAAAAACTTGTTAACCTCAAAAACAAAAGGTAAGTCTTAACTTTACTTACCAGTCAATATGCAAGCTAAGGTTTCCTGCTCTCTCACATCACTTAAATCCCAAGCGATGTGAGACATGCAGCTGCCACTTCTGTACTGGTGATACTGCTAGCTGTTTAAATGGAAGGTTATCCCCAGTACTAGAAATCAGTCAATTTAAGGAAGGGTTTAAAATATACGATGTTAAAATAAATAGTGTTTAGTTAGTGCAGGAAAACAGATAGGAAAGGGAATTATCCCAAGCTATTTAAACATAGCCAGGACAATCAGGTCCCCATATCAGGATCCTCAGAGGCAGCTTAACTGGCAAAAAAGCATGAGAAACTGCTTCTGAGTTATTTGAGCTGTAAAAATTTTGGGAACAACTTGTTCAGCTTGGAAAGTTTGTTATCAAACCCATCAGCATCAAATGCAGTTTTGGCAAGTTCTACCCTAACTCCTTTAGCTGGAAAATGTATGCAAAGGCAATGAGGATTTATGAGGCTTTGAGAGGAGCATGAAGGAAATCCAACCGAAAGTGACATTTTTTGTGTATCCCTTTAAACAATACTTAAAAGTTGTTTAAATAAACTCAAAGCTGTACTGCAACTGAGAGCTTTTCTCAACACAAAGAACAGTTCCTAAAGACAAGCGTGGCTATGATTACAAAAATAAACACAAAAGTTAATGCAAAAAGTCATCTCAAAAAAAGTTTATTAGCATGATTAAAAACATGTGAAGAATGACAGTAAAAGAGAAAGTAACTTAGCATGGAAGAATATCCATTTCAACAGCTTATATTCCACAAGGTTTGACAACTTTATTGCCAGATTTCTCTTGATTTCTTTAACAACAATTCACATTATATCAATTTCCTCATTATTAGGTCTATTGCTTTGTTTGGATCTGATTCCTGTTGCAGGTAAGTATAAAAATATTCTCCATTATTGTTGGATTGAAGAATGTTGGGTTAAGAGCTGGTAAAAAAAGAAATTTTCAACCAAAGAGTCTGTTTAAAAAACACCTTTTTCTTTTCCCCTCTAATCATACTACAAAGAAATACATTAGTATTTTGGCCTTTAAATTTCTTACATGATATTTATTTAGCATTGCAATCCCCAAATTCCCTCCCTTTAAGTAACTGTAACCATAAATCAAGCACCTCTTTCAGAGGCTACTTCTTGGGTTTGATTCTGGTGATTTACTTCATATATGCTTACACTGGCTTGAGGACGAAGACAGCATCATCTAGTACATAGTAGTCATTATACATATCACCTTCACATAGGTATGGCAGTCTGGTGAAAGCCTCTATGGCAAAACCAGCTTTACTGAAAACTTCTGGCAGGCTATTCACCTGTTCTTCCCAAGTCTGCCCTTTGATTTCCAAAACTTCTGAGGGCTTTTCCCACTTGCCACCTACTGAGAAAACAGAACAGTGGTGTTTAAATTATAAATAAAGCTTTATTGGGCATTGCATCTTCTCACAGAAAGCATGATACACAGATTATATTCCATTCCACTCCAACTTTGAGCTTGATGGGTCATTCGTAGAGATGTTGTAAGACCAGTTCAAGAGTTTTTCTAGAGTTCAGAAGAGGCTCCTTCTCAAAGCTATATTTTGTTTTATTTTTCACTAGCAGCTCCAAGATTGGCTGAAAAGTAACTTCCAATAGTGAAGCTGGCATTTAGCAGACATTGGACAGACAGACTATTTAATCTAGATATTTCCCAGCATTATAATATCTTTTCTTTCCCCTTCTTTATGCTTACTGCCTTGCAAAGATTGCTTTAGGTAATTATAGCAAACAGATAGCAAGCTGAAAATCATGATTTGTTGTGATGCTCTCATGGGCAGGCCATCCCATTAGTCAGCTGAGGGGACAGGTGGAGAACTTTTGCTCCTTCAAGTTGCACTTATTAGCTGACACAGTAAAGACAGATTAGACCTTTCAAAGCTGAATGCTTGTAATACACTGGAAAACAAGTCGTCATTTATGTCCAGGGAAACAAAGCTTCACTTGCTGTCAATGCAACATCATCCATAAATGAAAAAATTCTTTTCTGTTAGGTGTGTACCTTTAACAAGTTTGCAAAATGCAACAGTAAACGCCCCTTTTAAACAGGAAGCTCTAAATCTTGTGATTCAGAGCATTCTGCAACTCCAAAGATTTCTCAAGTTCCTCTTCATTTAAGCATAATCATTTCCAGAGAGACACCAAAAATGTTCAACAAAATCAAGAAGGTGCTAATSCTGGCATTCAACTGGATTCTATACGCTGTTGGTAAGAACTTTAAGCTTTCTGTATTATCCCTACAAACTACAAGTTAAACAGAATTTAAAATGTGGTGGTTATAATTTGCCACATAGCTATAAAGTAAGAACAGTAAAATATTTTTCTTTAATAAGTTTTGCTGTCTTCATACTAATTCCAAATCGAGTGACTGTTAGTGAACGCATTTGCTTCCGAAAGTCTGAAATGCTCTGTAATCTATGATTTTGGGGTTAAATTCTACTCCMTACTCCCAAGCAGAAGGGCTCCAGCAGCAGAAGAGCCTCCGTGTAGCTCTGCTTATTTGAGAGAAGGGTTTGGGGAGTCCAGAAGATGCATCAGATGGTTTCCAAATTAATGAGAGCCCTGAAGCTCACTCCGTAAGGCCACCCAGGGCCCTAGAGTAAGGGGGCAAGGAGAAGGGATCGACTAGCTGCAGGCAAACAAGTGACTGCCGGTTATCACAGAGGGTGTGAGGCCACTGACATGCACTGCTACAGGCTTGGGATTGCAGCAACAGCTCTAATGCTCATCTGCCACAAATGCAATTTCTTGTAGAAGTCACGTACACTGAATCTGCACAGATTTGGACCACAAAACATTTAGTGAGAAGAGCAATGAAGAGGCACTGCTATTTGTCTACAGAGGACAGGCGTACAAATTATCAGCAGGAGAACAGGATACATTTCCATTTCTCTTTCTAATAATTTGTTATTGTCTGGAAAGTACAAAAAGATTCTGTGAAACCACTATCTTCATTTTCACTGCATAATTTTGATTACATTGTTTCAATAACATAGTAACTTACTTGAACAGAATTAAATATGCTAAAAATCAATATTGAAGTTATGGATTTCAATAAGAACTTAATAAAAAAAACTCTCCCAGAGCAGTCATATATAAACCAGAAGCTTGCAAATTATGTAGCATTTCAATTCTTTAATTAGGATTCTCTTCCCTGATTAACCTTTTTTTCTCTCCATGCATTTTTAAATGTCAGAACTAACAAGCAATATTGTTGTCCTTAGAAACCCAGAGTCAATAAGTATGATGAAGTAGAAGTATGTCTAGGAATTATTAGGAATGCTAATGTTATGAAATTGCTAAATTACAAATGTCTTTGTGTAAGCCATAAACACYGCCTGCCATCAGGCTGTTTCACTTCACTCCAGAACAGAAAGAGTGGGGGAGACAGAAACCCTTCATAATTTCACATTCAAGTAAAAGCATCTTAAGATGATAGGTCAGATGGAGATTGGAGATGGAGAACTTTTCTGCAGACCATCAGGCTTAAGGCAACTGAGTCCTCTCAAACTCAGGGCACACAAAGGTAAAGAGCAATTCCCTACTGCTCTTGATACTAACTATCAAATCAGGAAAATGTGTGCATTCAAATAAATCAGAATCCTGTTTAATCATAAAATTACCTAAGAAAGAAAACTGTAAGAAAAACATTTTTCTCATCAGCTGGGGCTTGCTTCTTACAGTCTTTTGAAGTACTCATCTTTATAGCCTTTTCAGGGTAAGACGCAACAAGGGTTTGCAGCAAGTTTTGCTTGTTGTGAGGGTAGATAAGAGTTCATCTATTACCTAGTTCAGGAGTCGTCTACATTATTTTACATATATGAATCATCTGTATCCTTTTCCTGAGGTGGCCAGCTAATATATAATAAAATATATGCTGCATATATATAAAACTGTTAAATGAACAAACAGGCAAGCTGTAGGTACAATTTGAGAGGAAATGCTGCTAGAAATAACTTGAGAAATTCCAAGCTTGAAACAAAGTTTTCTGCCTTCCTCTTGTCTTTTCCACCATGAGCCCCAAATACCTTATTTTCTTTTTCGATGGTGCCTTGCTTTTTACAATCCCTCACATCAAAATCTATTTATTCCCAACAGGTGATACCAATACCTGCCAAGTCACCGTAATGCAGCCCAGGTACAAGGAAGCTGAGGAATCTGCGGACACCGTCACCCTGCCATGCACGTTCTCTGCCCTGGGATGCTCGCCGGTCGAGCCTCAAGCTCTGTGGTTTCGCTTTTTTACTAACAGGCATGAAGATCTGTGTACCCCGAAATGCACAGATGCTCACAAGTTCCAAGTAYACTCATCGCCAAAGAGTGTTTCACTTCAGATCAGTAATCTGACCCCAAATGACAGTGCTGTCTACTTCTGTGGAATTGCATTTTCAGATTCATGGTCACCCCATTCTAAGCAAACGGGAGGCGGGACCGTGTTAGTGAAAACAGGTCAGTTGATTGTTCCTTCTTAATGAAGCATCTTAAGGAAATACATTTTCTTTCCTAAACAGCCTTTGTAAATACCATTCTTGAAATAGCAAGTAAGATTGGAATATCAACAAGCGTTAGGAGTAGCGGGATTTTACTGAAACACTGAAAAATTACAGAGGGCTTCTGCAAGAAGAGACCTCAGAAATCTTCTACAAGGGAAGTTTTCTACTCTGTTGCCTAACCATACTCCACATCCTCCAGTACAAAGACTACAAGGGCTACAGAAAGGAAGTATCAACAGAAAAGTGAGAAGTAGAGACAGACATTTAGAGGAAACGTGTCCAGCAGAGTACAGGGCTCAGAACAGCAGTCTCACTCACCATCCTGAGCAAAGAGTTTCAGTTCTGTATGGCAGTCTCATCTGTCATATAGTTTACAACAGTAATAAGACTTCCACTAACTACATTTCAGTATTACATACTTAAGAAAAAAAGAGTAGCTGGACTATTATTTTCCCTTTATTAATTCCGTCCCCTAATTGCATTCGTAAACAAAAATCTGTAATAAGTTTTTTCAGATAGTCCTTCATTAGATCAGAAAAATGGGATTTTCTTCTCTGCCTACCACTCAAGAAAGGTTTCCATAACCAGAAATCATAAGACTCCTTTGCTGTTGCAAATGTCCAGGGAAACTGAGAAAAGGAATTTCACTAATGAATTTAGACAGAAAATGAACTATAAGATACAGATGGCTAATAATGATTTTTAATTCATTAAAGGAAGGGGACTGGAACGTAAAGTCCTCAGAAAATTACATGTGTTCCAAGAACTGTGCATTATCCTAACCCTTCTTTTCCATAAAGGGGCTGAGAAGCACAATACTGAAAATCTTACTTCAATGATCATCACCTTATCCTTACTGCTTCTATACAGCATTGTCATATTCACAATCCTTATACTTCATAAGGTAGGTTTAAACTGATATTCCTGTTTTCATCCTCTCTCCTCGCTCTCTTTTAAGGAGCTTTAATATTTTCATAAGGAGAATAAAAAGAAAAAAAAAGATTTCATAGCTTTTATTATTAAGTTTCAAAGAGACAGGAGTTTGAAGATAACACTCACTGTGCCCATTGGCAAAGTCTAGCACGCAGCACTCATTACTCTTAAATAAAAAAAGTGATGACACTAAATGAAGTCTATAAAAGGAAAGGTATTTTAAAGCCAGAATTATCTCGAAATTTCAGCAGGTTGGAGACTGAGACTACCGAGCCATATGTAAAAGCTAAGCTAGAAGTTACTATCAGAAGTCATCAGTCTGGATTAGGTTCCATTATCAGTAAATGAATTTAAATTTCATGTCAAGATATTCGCAAGGTGCAGTAAAGTTATCGCAAACTGAATTTTCTTGTATAACGACGTTGTGATCAACTGGAGATTTGGAAAAAGTTTTCCTATTGAACACACATATTAGAAACTTCCTGTTTAAAAGTTACATTAAATATTTAAGGCATACTTTTTTCTAGTACAAAAATGACATTGAGTTAAAACCAAACAATCAAAACTGCAGTGGGACTCTCTAATTAAACTTTTTTATTGTTTGTGTGTTTGTTTTGTGATGGTTTTCTTTCAATGAGGCAGAGTAGTATGGGGGAAAAAAAATGAACTGTTCTTCAGGAAAAAAATTTAAAAAAAAATCAGTTAAACTCTGAAATTTGGGTAAAAGATGCAACTTTTATCTTCAGATCTCTCTGTCCTTACAGTGCACAGCTTTTAACTAGGTAAGTCTTTTAGGAGCTGGCATCTCATCTTATGTTTTAACTTTTTTCCTTCCACCTCCAGCTAAAACCAGAACTGCTGAAGAAAAGCAGCAAAGCAGACCACAGAACAGAGAATTGTGTACGTCTTCACTGTCTCCTCCATCTATAATTCAAACTTTTTTTTTTTAAACAAAAAAGTAGAGGATGTTGATTTTATGAATAAGCAATAATTCAGTCAGAAGGGGTATTTACAGATGTTAAAGTCTCATTTATGATTTGTAAAAAATATTTATTGACTTTGAAATTAAAGTTCTCATTATTTTTAACTAACTGGGCAGAAGGTAATGCCAAATCTACTTAAAGGCTACCATCTCTAATACATGGGTTCCTGCGGGTTACATTTTTAAATAAATTGTTTTGAAAGTAACAGTGCTTGCGATAAAAAAAGGAAAAAAAAAAAAAAGCTTAAGTGATTCATTCAGGCAAATTCTAGTGCATTTAAAGCAAGTCTGCTTATAACCTCTGCTGCAATGCTTATTTGAATAAAAAGCCAGACAACCTAACCACCGGTTAAAGAAGGTATATATAATAAGTGAACTATAAAGTAAATTAAAGCCCTTCTGAATGCCACTCTCTATATTTTAAGTGTTATTCACTGACATTTGCAAAGACATATATAGGGGAAAAAAAGATTTTAATTGTGAAAGGCAAAACTGATTACCACTGATCTAAAATATTTAAAATAACTTGCAGAAAATCAGTAGCGGACGAAAAATTTTTCAAGCAATTGCCCAAGAACTTCAGAAGCAGAGGTATGCTGAAGACTGCCAACAGCCTGTAAGTAACACAAAATGTATGGCAAAATTGGGTGCATGTCTACTGATACTGAAATACATGAAGAAAGAGCAGAAAATTTGAAGCGTATCTCACTTGCCTCTCCTCTGGAAGTAGATTTCTCTCTTGCTCCCCAAGGCAACAAAGCTCTACAGAACTGTTCTGCACAATAGTCTGGGACAGACACACATCCAAGAGAGAGTGCAGGGAGAAGCACACAAGCATTTTCACACCCCCGCCCYAGCATTGCAGCACAGATTACAGCACTCGAATGCGGCGCCTGTTCTATTTGCTTGCAGCACAGCTGCACGGTCACAACCTCTCTCTCCCCTCCTGCTTGCAGTTCTTGGAGCTCTCGGACACTTTTGCGGAGCAGCGGGGACCAGGCTCCTCCTCATCTRTTCAACTCACTGCAGACCTGACGCATTTGACTGATAGCTGAGATCAGATGCAGTCCTGAATCAAGAACAGCTCTCATTTTCTTGGACATCCAATATTTTGGATTCCAGCAGCACTAGAACTGGCATCTCTGTGTTGCCTGGAAATAAAATTTCTTTTCTCCACATGGACACTAAAAGTCTAAAATTCCAGGCCTCAAGCTAGGTATCCCTTTTCAGGGAGAAAAGACAAAAAAATACAAAGCAGGGATAGGCTTGTATCAAAGGAGGTTACAATGCTTTGCATATATACATGTATGTATTTATATTTCTCTATTTATGAACATATATATGCACACACATAGGTATAGGTATATATATATATATATATATATGTGCACACACATAGACACAAACTGAATCTTCCTTGTGTTTATAATTTGCCAAGATGTTTCAGCAAGTTGTTCTGGACCATTTGGTTAAAAGGCATAATAAGAGCTCACTCTTGGAAGGATCTTACTAAGAAATCTCAGTTTCTGTCCCTGCCTTACCCTGCAGTAGTTACATGACAGCCATAACAAAATTATTTCAAAAGCTCTACAGTATTCTTAAAAGTATTTGCTCCCCCTATCTACTTAATATAATGTCAACTAAGTGTTCAACATCACTGGATAAAGCCACACGATTTATCTCATCATTCCCAACTTATGTCAGTGAGACTTACRACTACATGGCTGTGCACACATCATGGAAGTTATATACAACTTGGAAGCCACAAATACTTTTAAGAAAAGAAAATGGCTTCAAAAATGCTTCATTTGAAGCAATACAAGTTTTTCCCTACTCTAAACATTTACCACATCATTCCAGAGATGCAATGTGGAGAAAAGAAACAGGCAAAGTTAGATGCCTCTCCCCTACACATTTTGGCTTTCTAGTCATATATTGCCCCAAATGATTCTTCTGTAAGAGCCTCTTTAAAGGCTTCAAATCCCTGCTGACATGACTGGTTCTTGTTTTGACTGCCACCAACATAGTGAAAATAATTGGAGTGTTTTATTGAGCTCCCTAGAGATTTGGGGAAGGCAAAAGGAAAAGTTCAGATTCAGCTGGACAAAGAAGGAGGGAAAGGAGTCTACTGAAACACTAAAGAGAGGAAGTTTGCCTCAAAAATAAAGTTTTATCCTGTTCCTTTTAGTTAAGAAAGCTGACATTGGTAACTAACTGCTTTACTATTTTCCCCTCACAGGATCACTTGGAAGATGACACTGTTTATCAGAACAGATGAGTATGTGCTGTAGCATAGACATGCTCAGTATTTCTGAGGCAACTGAAGAGGTAGATAAAGAAGTTCACCTTCTTCACACACTTTGCTTTAACAGGAAAATAGCACCCCTAAGAGTATATTCTAAACAGATCCAAACTGAGCACACTGAACATTACACTCTCATACATCTCTCCCTCTCTGCAAGAATGAAAAGAGTGGAAACGGACTTTACCTTTTGCAAGAGAAACACTTCAGAAAAGTTTTGAGTTAAATTTACATGCTTTTATATATATAAAATATATATAAATAAAGTTTACATCTATTTTTTACATGAATTCTCAACCATTCTGTGAACTGAGTATTTGTGAAACATGTATGACAATTGASAGCAATACAAAATAAACTCATTCCCTAGGTGAAATTCTGTTCTCAATCATGTTAACAGTGACAGTATTGGTGTACACATACTCAGATCAGCAGTTACCCAGGCTTATAGCAACACAAACAAGCAAAATATACATATTCTGTAGACAGGCGAKCAGAAAAACACAGACACTATAAATTAGCTTTGCTATAATAGCACATGCCTTGAGAATAGAAGCTTCCTCCTAACCTACTTAGAAAGGAAATGTGGTGGTCAAAGAGATAATGTTGCTTCTGCAATGTCAGAATTGATTTGCTAGCCAGAAGACCTCCTTCCAATTGAACCACCCAAAGCCAGGAGTACCTGGAGCACCATGTTTGCTTTGTGGGCCTGYACAAAACAAACTGAAGCACAAACACAGAAGTACACTTAAAAGTTACTGAATTGCACCCAGCTAATCTACAAAACCGKCAGTTTTACAAGAGATGCGTTATCTCTGACTTTCTCCCATTAAAGAACAGCTACAAAGAAGAAAAGCACCTTCATCTTCCTTTCCCTCAGTCAGTCACCCAGATTGTACATTCATCACATCATAAACCCAGGCTGCTCATGTTTATTTCTCCTAAAGTACGGTATCTCTAGAATTAACTTCAACTTAAGCCATTCTAGGCATATACTATCTAAGAATGTTATCCTAATRTTAATATCATATCTATATTGGGAAGTTCAAAGTTCTTCTACATCATGTTATGAAATATCTACTAAAAATTAAACTACTTGAATAATAATTTAAATAGTATATGATTCATTTGCTTGTCAACTTTAGGCATACACACGAAGTGCATTAATTGTTCTCTATATTGAAAATAAAAACCTAAATTGTCCCAAAAAGTTATGATTAAACTACTTCAGCCTCTAGGTGTCACTGTAATTCCAGAAACAGTAAGCACAAAAGTAACTCCCTCCTCTACCTTGCTTTGTTTTCTGAGCTTGAATTTTACACTGTTCACATAGGCAGTTTCCACAGTCTTCTATTATATTAAGTACAACGATGTAAATCTCTCAAAGATGTTTTMATTAAAACATATTTTTAGGCTCTAGCTAGAGAAATTGATCCATATGCTAATCAAATATATCACCTCCCTTCTCACCTTCTCTCCATTTCTGCATTCCTTGCCCGCTCCCCCAAACACACCTTTTCTAGGTGGGTCTGCACTGTTTTTAACTGGACTGTTTTTAACTGACATAAGGAATTATCAGACCTATGTTCTCCTCAATGTTCCAAATATTCTTTTCCAATGTATATAAATATACATGTCAAACCCTTTTTAATGCATCACCCTGCAGGATAACTGAATATTTAAATTCTAAAATAGTTTGTAAATCAGGAAGACAGTCCAGCAGTTCAGTGCGTGTTTCTTTAGAGTACACTTGAATACAGCTCAAAAGAGAAAGCTCTAGTGGAATGACAGTATCTTTTGTGTGTGTTAACTTGCATTGTTTATGTAGGCCCATATCCATGACCAAAGCAAACAGACATATTGAATACATTTAAAGTTTCAGTAAATATTTGCTACTTGGAACAATCTCAACTGACAGAGGTTTAAGTCATTCTGTCCCACCTGTCAGGCCACAGGAAAACCACAAAAGCCATCACTGTCCTACTCGAGACTCAGAAAAAGCACAGGAAATAAAGCTGTCTCAAACAAAATGATTTATCTGCTAGAAGCTGCCAGCACAAACCAAAGTACAACTCTGGTTTACAAAATGTCTTACAACAGATATCTGCTTTCCTTAAGTAGGAATGACATGAAGTTCAACAGTTAGACAGGTTTCCAATCCTTTRGGATACATAAATTTAATATACTATTCCATGCTCAGTGGACAGCAGGAGATTAATGATGGMCATAAATGAAGTCAGAGTGGTTTCTTCCTTAATTTATCCACCTCCTGTTGAGCCAGGATCTACTACATGGTTACCCAATACRACACAAAAAAGTAGATTTTGGACACAATAGCATTTGCAAAATAAAAACCCTTTTTTCTCCTCAATATCATTCAAGAAAAACACAAAACTCAATATATTTTGATGAATTTATCATTCCCAGAATGTTAAGCTAATTGGTTTTATATTTTTTGGACGGGCCTTTCTATTAACAAGTTTTAAGGCTCATAGAGAGCAAGAGACTGCAATGCTCAAAAAGCAAGTCATAAACACCAGCCCTCTGGAAATCAGTCCAACTTTAGAGTGTCTCAACCTGAATTCCAAACATCACAGGCACCTAAAAAAAAGTTGCTAGTCTCTCAAAGTCAGTCAAGAGCAAAGAGGTCTTTAAATTAAACTCCAGGTATTTCCTTAAAATGCAACTATGGGAAATAGAGTTTGGTATACAGAAGTTCTTCTAGTTGCTAAGGAAAGTAAGTAATAGTTGATATTTTATATTAGTAGAAGTCTACATTTACTTTTTAAACCTCATGTTGGATAGTGACAGTGAACATCACCTCTCTAAGAATTTTTAAGGGCAGTTGAAACAGTGCTCTATTCAGAATTATACACAGTTCATATGTTTTTCACGTAGTGGTTGCCAGAGACAACTGGGGTTACCTATACAGCAGTCRCAGGGGGCCCTAATCAGATCATTTTTCTTGTGTTGCTCTGATACAGCGCAAATGTGGAACCTGCAGAACATGAGACTTCAATATTTGAGTTTTATTACTGGTTCCAACAACATATATGGGTAATTAACAAAACAGCTTACCACATGTGGCCTATTTGCCTATAATTTCTTTTAAATGTGAACACTATAAGTTCTTTTTAAAATCAAAAATATGAATTAAATCAAACATTTAATTCCAAATACTGTAATGTACAACCTTTCTTCATCTAAGCGTCTGTGAACCCATGTACTTACCATTTTCCACATATGGATGGAATGGCAGAACTAATGCTAGAATGACTCTGCCTCTAGTTGGCTCCAATACACTTCTAATATCCTTTAATACAGTCAGTGGTTGATCACAGCGATCAAGCAAATTCAAACAGCTGATAACATCATACTGAAATCCCGTGTTCTGCCATTCATTTATACCAAGTACTCTGAAAAGAGAGATACAGAGAGTGTTAAACACAAGCTAAGTTCAGAGAGAACTACCAAGGATAAAAATTTCCTGCAGACGTGTTGGGGGTGGGGGTGTGGRAAGATTCTTTACACAGTAATCTATGACACTTTCTTTACCTAAAGAAAGGATAAAGGCACATTACCCCTACATCCCTACTACAAGGAATCAGTTTGCTTTCCCTACAGTGTCTGCATCTTCCTCTCTCACTTTGGACTGTCCATATATCAGCATCTAAACTTCATCTCCTGCATGTCTTCATGTAGTGCAAGCTATGAAGGAAGACTTTAAAGCAGTTGTTCCATATTTTATCTTAACTGGTAACASGGAACATCAGTATAACATAAGCATTGGTAACAGGTTAAGGTCAGATGTGTTTGCTTTCATGTTCTTGTACAGGTCAGCCCTTTCCATAATCATCAAAGGCATCGACGTAAGTGAATACACTGAACAGTTATAAAACATTACAGATAGATTATTTTGCAGTAATCATTGAGATAAAGTATGCAAGAACTATTCCATACAATACCTGTATTTCTTTTTCTGAAGCTGCCATATCATTGTTTCAGACAATTCAGTGGCATAGATTTCTTCAAAGTGAGGACTCATGACTTTAGTGACCTCTCCATCCCCAGCTCCTAAATCGAGAAGTCTGTGGGATTTCCACTCTGGATTTATTTTAAGCAGTCTTTGAAATTGTTCTGGGGAAAACACAAACATTGAGCCCCTTCCCAGCAGCCTGTAATGTAAAGATGAGAAACGTCCATTTTTTTWAATTAAAAAAAGGACAATGAAATGATTTAGAGTGTGTTTTGGCAGCAACCAGTCACATAATAGACAAGTTCCCTGCTTCGATAAATTTTAAATCCAGTTCAAGTTGCCTTTCACTTGTCACAGATCAAACACAGCTACATGCAGTTTTACTGGTTCAGATTTCAGGAAGAATATGATTAGGAAGGGAAGAGCTCATGGGGTGCAGCTCAAGAAAATGATCACATTAAAAAAAAAAAAAAGAACAAGAGAGAGAAAAAGTCTGAGCCTATTTTTGCAATTGTAAATTTGAATCTCTCATCTATCTTAAAAAAAAAAACACAAAGAAAAATAACAAAATGGCTGGAAAGACAGAAGTAAGCTCAAAAGAAACCATAGAAGAAATTTAAAGAACCATTAGGGGCAACACTCCWGAAGTGGCAAAGAGAAAGGATTTAGTAATTATATGCTACAATGGCTTTTGCTGCTATCTGCAGATTCTGTATTGATCAGGAAGAGCTATGGAATAAAAAACAGGCAACTCATTAAAGAATTGGACAGGTGACAGTTGGATTCTTTATGGATCAAGTCAAAAAAAAAAAAAAACACACTACTTGTCTGAAGACTATTTATTTACAGATTTCAGCTGTCATAGCAGAAATTCAAAAGATGAAAGAGTTCAAACAAGCAGATAAAAATAACCAACCAGTGATAAACTGAAGGTAGGTAAGTGCTATTCCTTTAAACTACTGTTGGATAGAAGGTTAAATTTAAGAACGACAAAACAGAAATCAAGAAAAAAAGCAAAGACAAAAGAATCAAAGAAGTAAAAGGTGCAAAAGAAGCCCTAGAAAGATTAACTGCACAAAATAAACAAAAACAGAATCTATAGCAGTATGGTAAATATAGAAAAATAAAGTCAAGCCAATTTAAGCAGAGCCCCCTTGCAGCACACTTGTGTCAGTCCACACTGTGTAATTGGCTCGTGGCTATTATTCCTAACAGCACTACGAGGTGTTATTCAAAGCACTGGAGAGCCTTTGAGGGGGGAAAGAAAAAGGGGGTGGGGAGAAGAGGAAGAAGAGGAGACCAAAGGGACTTTTATATAAAGCTACAAGTAACTAAGAACACCACAGGGAAGCTCATAAAGACATCTGGCTAGAAAATAAGGAGAAAGATTATTCTTCTAGCCTTAGTAGTCAGTTACTGTCCTCAAATCAGACTGTGTGCGGGTGCAAGGAGAAACAGAGGGCAGGAAAGGAAGTCAAGTAAACAAAGGAAAAAAAAGTATTCAAAAGTGATAATAAGTTAAATATATGACTGAATGGAGTGCAGGGAGAAGAAAAAATAAGTCTTTTGTCTTTTTTGAAAAAAATACTACAGTATACAGCAAACTTCTCTTCAGCCAATCACCAAAGAGCCTGATGCAGTAAGACTAAGAAAACAATGTTAAATGAATTTCTCTATTCCTGTCTTCCTCATGTTTCACATCAGAAGCTACTTGTTCAAGTATAGCTTATACAAATTGAGATGGAATTACTTTTTTAAAAAGTAAAAGAGAGGGCAGAATTCTGTGCTACACAAGTATTACTAGACTACACTCAGCAACTTCTGCTGTCTTTAGAGATCTGCCTTGTTTTGCAGGGCAATTCAACCCCCTCCATGCAGAACAAACACAACATTACATTAACTCTTAATGATACAGCAACAGGTAAAAGGTAAAGGGAAAAAAAATAATGGAAAAAAATGAAAAGAGGGAGGAGGATACCTCACACTGAGAGAATACCATGCAATTAAAGAAAACTCCTGCAAAAGGAGTTAATACAAGTAATGGTTATAAAATACAGTTAGAGACCTCTGACCATGTCTTGCTAACTGCTATTACCTCCTYTGCTCCCTCTCCATTCCGGCAATTGTGATCTTTAATTAAGAGGGTTGGGGAAAGATTTAACACCTGCTAAAATGGCAAAGGGAAATCTGTAAAAATCTTTTTAAAAAGCTGAAAAAAAAAGAATGGGAATTGAACACTTGAAAAAAAGATTCTCAATTATCCATATAAATAAATAAATAAATAAACATAGTTTACCTAAGATCGACTTTCCACTTACCCATTGATAGATGTCCTAGACATAAAAAGGCTAAAAATTGAGGACACAAAAGAGTGATAGAGCTGGATGAAGAGCCAGCCTGATTTCTCAATGCTGTTGTTTAAGAAGATCTGTGTTCCGTGGTCGAGGTAACTCTGGACAAAGACAGGTTGAAGGGATTCAGACAACTGCTCGGTGTTGCAGACATACCACTAGAGAAAGAGATAAAGGAAGAGATAAAGGAACATTAGAAGTTCAGCAATATAAAACCAGAAGTAGTTAAAAACTTAAACCTACAGAGAGCTACCATCAAGCTGTCTATAAATATCAAAATTCAGTTTTCCCCCAAGATTTTTAAACAAACTTCAAACTTTATTTAGACTTCAGTTGTAAACAACAAAAAAAAAGCATATTACCAAGAGATAATATTTTATTTTTTTTTTGTCTTAACTATTACTCTGCATTTTGAAGAATTTTGCAGAGCAGCTCTCCTAGAAAGTAAACACAGGTCCAGCATGGAACACCACCATTCTGTTAACAGAGTATGAAGCAGGTTACATTGTTTTCTGTCTTCCAGCTCTCAACATTTCACTGGCCATCCTCTGCAAAGCAACCACGAAGTGCATTTGCAGCAGCTTTCTAGGAAAGGAGACAAGGAATCCAATTAACACTCTGAGCAACTGCGTGCCTGTCCTGCACCACTGACTGACAGCACTTTTGCACATGCTAGTGCCAACAAGCAGGTTGACACAGTCTTTCGAAGCAATTATCCCCATTTAGCAGCAACAATGTGAGGAAGTTGCATAAACAAGCAGGCCCCTGCATCACCCAAGAAGTCTCCAGTATCAATTGGAGGGCTTTTCTATTGATGCACAAGGTACAACGGGACACTGATTCCTTTCACTGTGTATTACCTGGCAAACTAGCTCTCATACACATGCCATTATTCAGCTAGTTCTGAAGAGGAGATGCTCCTACTTTTCTTACCTAATCTATTTGGAAAAGTAGTAAGACTACACACTGATGTTTTGCTATCTGTGTGCAAACTATAACTCCTCTAATCCCTGCATTTACATGCTTTTAAATTCAAGAAATTGTGCAAAACAAGACAGACCTATAGAGATGTTGAGACACCAAAATGCCAGTGCTGACAAAATTCAAAGGGCTGCTCACTGCTAGTATGTGATGCCAGACTCAGTTTCCCCCTGACACTCAACAGGTAGATGTTACAACAATCATTTAACTGTAATTTTAATTAATAATATCACTATTTTTTGCTCAGTGTCTTCCCCCCTTACATGCAGAATTACTGATGGCTCTCTTTGCAGATGCCTTAATGTCATTGAGTTTGTTTTCTAATATTCTACTGCAGATTTGAATCTCTCCCTGAAGAGAATTACTGTCCATAGCCCAAATCCTCTCCCTCTATCTTCACCTCTCATCTTGCAAGAGTGCTCTCCAACCTGTCTTACAGCACAGAGAGAATGACAAGTATTCTAAAGAGAAGCAGAGGGTTTCAACAGAGGATTATAAAACTGCATGTAGGAAAGCAAGAGATCAGCTGGCATAAGTGTTCAATATTAAAACAAGCACTAAAATTGTGTCTATAACCATACACAAAATATGCATGCACCTTTTGTTTGTTGTTACTTGTTGAGAGGGGAAGTCATTTAATGACAGTTTACACAGCATTCAGTGAAATGGGACTCCCAGTCACTACATAAATTGGGATAACAACAGTACAGGATTCTTACTCCAGCATCCCAAAGCTCACATGAATGGAGCCAGCAAGTAAAGGAAGCAGAGACCTGCAACAAGATCACTGCGCCAAATTCACAAATGGGGCTCCATCAAGCAGACCAGAGTCCTAAGGTGTTTCAACACCCTTCAGCAGGGGAAGCAGTTACATGCCTACAAAGGGCTAGCCTGAAAGCTTGATGTTTGCTAGGCACTTCCTTGCAGAACTGGGCTCTCAGCAGTGCACTCAAGAGCATTTGTCACCACTGAGAGTAGAATTATTCCTCTAAAAAAATAGACTTCAAGGAAGCCCGCATCACACAACGCAGCACAGCACGTCTCCATGACCACCCTCTTCCCACCTGCAGTCTTCTCTTTGCCATGGCCCAGTGATAAGCGAGTGGATCGGCACAAAGCAGTAATTCCCAAAAGGAATCCTCATAGAGTCATCAAAAAGACCCAAAGCGGTAGCTGTGTCTATGTATTTTGTCCACTCCTCTCCAGGCAGCAGTTTCAGGAGCTTGGCAGAGCTGAAGGGCCCCAGGGAGCCGAGGAGCCGGCAGGGACACGGGCCAGCTCAGTGTCTGTTGGCAAAGCTGCCGCCTCACSCGCTGAGTGGGCTTGGAGGGGCCAGATCTACCTCGCGCTGCCATTTTCAATCCCAACGGAGGTGTATGAAGTATCCCAAGTTTGGGAATCACAACCTTTGACCTGTAACTAACACGACTACACACATGCTGTCCATGAGCTTATTCATAAGCCTTAGTTGTATGACACACTCCCATCACCTAACCYGGTAGTTCCAGGACCTAGCCGTGGAAACCAACTGTCAAACAAAAGTAGGAAAAGAAAGCTCAATTCTGCAACTATTTCCTCAAAAGAGAAATTCCTTTTCTTTTCCTCGTTGTCCAACATGCAAGGAGCCCTTTCCAAGCTGCTAGTCCCACAATACCAATCAACATCAATCCGGCATAGCAAAACAGTGGAAACACTACAACACATCAAAGAAACCTGAGGAGAAATTTGTGCAGACCTTTTTTTTTTTTATAATAAAGATTATTACTTGCAAGTCTTGCCTAATACTAACAAAAGGAGGAAAACAGCCTTTCAGCTGACTCTCACAAAACTGAAGTCAGTAAAACTTCAGAGCAGGGCGGTCCCAGGGCTCACCACGCAGCCCTTGAGGGGATAACCCGACAACCGAGGAACCCAAGACCTTGAACCCCCTGAAGTGTATTTACACACTCGAAGCACCAGAACCCCACACGAGAGACAGGGAGCAGCCCGAGCAGACCCCGCTACCTGCGAGCAGAACCAGGCTCTCCCCTCTCCTATCTCCTCATCCTTCTAGGGAGGTTTTTAACACCAGTGCAAAACAATCGCGCGTCTTCTTTGTTCGCAGGAGTAAAGTTCTTGCTGCAAAGCCGAGCGCTGCCCCTGTCAGCGCCGCGAGCGCGGCGGCACCGCGCTCACCCAGCGCGGGAGGCCGGGGCCGGCAGCCGCCCCGGGCACTAACAAAGCTGGGACCGGGACGCAGGGGCTGCGAGAGCCGCGGCGCGAGGTGACCGCTTTGTGCGAGGCGCCCCCGCCACCCACGCTGCGCTTTCCTCACGATCGGGCGCTTTAGGCGGCCCCCGCACCCCGCTCCGGCGCGCGGCCGCTCCCGCTCCCGGCTCGGCCGCGGGGCAGCGCCGCGACCCG